CCATTCCCTTAAAAACTGCCACCATCACTCCCACCTTGAAAAACCCTCCCTTGATGCGTCGCAGCTATCAAGCTACTGGCCCATCTCCAACCTCCCCTTCCTGTCCAAGGTCCTGGAACGAGTTGTCGCCTTCCAAGCTGCGCTCTTTCCTCTCCAACCATTCATTACTCGAACCCCTTCAGTTGGGTTTCCGTGCTGCCCATAGCACAGAAACTGCCCTGGTCAAGGTCACCAATGACATCCTGACCATCTGTGACCAGGGCTCCTTCTGCCTCCTCGTCCTCCTCGACCTATCGGCAGCATTCGATACGGTCAACCACGCTATCCTCCTCCACCGCTTGTCCTCCCACCTAAACCTTCAAGGCCTTGTCCTTGAGTGGTTTAGGTCGTATCTCTCCCACCGTCTTCATTTTGTCTCCACGAATGGTTTTTCCTCCGGCCCCCACACTGTCTCGTGCGGTATCCCTCAAGGCTCTGTCCTCGGTCCCCTCCTCTTCACCCTCTATATGCTCCCACTTGGTGACATCATCCACAGATATCGGGTTAACTTCCACATGTATGCGGATGACACCCAACTCTACCTTTCCTCCTCTATCCTCAACTCCACGACCACCGATGTCCTGACAGCTGCCTGTCCGACATCGAGTCCTGGACGAGAGATAACTTTCTCCAGTTCAACATGCGCAAAACTGAGGCCCTCCTGATTGGCTCGCGTCAGCGCCTCCGCACCTCAGGCGCCGACACCATCAGCATCCAAGGCTGCACTCTAAACCTCTCAAAGCCAGTCAGGAACCTCGGGGTTCTGTTCGACCCTGAGCTGTCCTTTCTCCCTCATATCCGCGCCACAACTGGCACCGCCTTCCATCACCTCCAGAATGTCGCCAGACTACGGCACTACCTCACCCCTCACGCTGCTGAAACTCTGGTCCACGCCTTTATCACCTCAAGGCTGGACTATGGGAACTCTCTCCTCACCGGCCTTCCCGGCACCTCCCTCCACAAGTTGCAGGTCATTCAGAACTCTGCAGCTCGTGTACTGTCCCGCACCAGGCTTCGTGACCACATCACTCCCACCCTCACTCGCCTCCACTGGCTTCCCATCCCCAGAGGATCGAATTCAAGATCCTCATCCTCACCTACAAGGCCATTCACGGCCTTGCTCCCTCCTACCTCTCCAACCTACTATCCCCCTACCTACCTGCCCATACCCTCCGTTCCTCTGGCTCCGGTCTGCTCCACATCCCCCGCCCCAACCACCCTACCATCGGTGGCCGGGCCTTCAGCCTCTCAGCCCCTCGGCTCTGGAACTCTATCCCCCAGTGCCTTTGCCTTGCCTCCTCCCTTTCCTCCTTCAAGGCCGGTCTCAAGACCTTTCTCTTTGACCGTGCCTTCAGCTCCCCTCTTGACTCTCTACCCCCTCCTCGCTCCCTCCCTTCCCTCCCCTCACCCTGACCATTTCCCCCCTGCTCGGGTCCTGACCCAACTGTACAGTGCCTTGGGACGTCCTCCCGACGTGAAAGGCGCTCAATAAATGGAATCTTGTTGTTGTTGTTGTTGTTGAGTCAGTAGGTTATGAGTTGAAGCCCCATGTAGGGACTTGCTGTACTCTGTCCAGCGCCTTGGGACGTCCTCCCGAATTGAAATGCGCTATACAAATGTAATCTTGTTGTTGTTGTTGAAACTCAGATAAACTGGGTTGACATTCAATTGCAGTCCTTGGGTTGTGCTGTTGTGCTGCATTGCTGGAGGTGCTTTTGATGAGACTTTAAACTGAGATCCTGTCTGCCTGTTCAGGTGTACATTAAAGATCCCATGGCACTATTTGAAAAGAGAAGGGAGTTTCTCCCGGTGTCCTGGCCAGCAATCCCCAAATAAAATTGGTCATTCACTTCATGACTGTTTGTGGGACTGTTTGTGCAAATTGGCTGCTGGGTTTGATCACAAGGTACAAGTCACTCCACTCTACAATAAATCCTGTGTAAAAGGCACTGCAGCAAATGTAATGATTACTAATATCATTATGTACAGGGGTTTTCCTGCCGAAAACAGTTTTTTTAAGGAATATTTTTGTCCAAAAGTTGTGCTGTGCAAGATCATTTTTATTTTACAATATACATTTTTACATAGTACCTTTTATGTTGGGAGGATGTCTCAAAGCCCTTGACACCGCTAGCTGGACACCCACACTGGAGGTTTGGGAGCTGAAGAAGGTGGGAAGGGAAAGGATGATGCAAAGCGCAGTCAAAGAGGTAAGTCTCGATCATTGCCACGATCTGGTTCTTGCTAAAAGAATTCATTGATGCAGAAGCATATGCTTTTGCTAGCTATGTGTTCCACATAACTAAGAGTTTCTGAACAAAAACAAATGTGAGATGGCTGACTGAAAGGAGAACGTCCCTCAGCATGTTTAATTAGGAGCTTCTTTTGTGTTACCTGTAAGTGGTGTGCTTCTGTTAGAAAGGAATATAACGATTTCATCATAGCTCACTGACATTCTGTAAAGTGGTAGCAAAAGGAGTACTATTTTAAGGCAATCACTCACAGCTGTTAAAAATTCAGTTCAGTTTGGGAATAAATCTTGCTTTAGATCTGTAAAATCATAGACATTTACAATACAAAAGGTGTCCATTCGGCCCATCGTGCCATTGCTGGCTCTCAGAAAGAGTTATCCATTTAGTCAAATCACCCCTGCCTTTTCCGATGCCCTTATACACTATATATTTCTCCTTCTCAGATGTTTATCTAATTCCCTCTCAAAAGCTGATATTGATTTATTGATTTATTGATTCCACCTCAACCATGAGTCCAAGAAGAATATTTCACACCCTAACAAGTTACTGGGGTAAAAAAGAATTCTTGACTTGTATTGTCGGGTGATCTATAATATTTTAAGTGTTGAGCTCCGCATGATAAAATAGAAAATGAGCACACACAATGAAGCAAAGTGATTTTCAGTCTCCCACATTGACATCTGGGATCAGCCACAATTCACAACTGGTTTGAGATGATTTTCAGTGATTTGATAATTATCACCAGTGTTGCATCACATCACGCTTTGGGTTCTTGCACTACACTCCTTTCACATGTTTTATTAATATTTCAGCACAGCTCAATGGATTCATGTATTGGATACATTTTTATATTGGTGAGTCAAAGCTGAACAGTTGCCTAATGCTGACATCATGTGAAACATGAACAGAATGTTCAAGTATCCGAAATTATTTATGATACGCTTGACTTTTATGGTTTTGACTTACTGCAAATCAAAGCCTGTTGGTGCTTAAAGGATGTCCCAGCCTAGACGGAAGTATGATTGTGCTTGAAGATGACTGCTGGAGGCAGTTGAATGACTTTTTCACAAAAGCCATTGAGTACATGCATAAAATAAGAGAAATATTATGGTAAACATTTACCCTGTCTACCTTCTGCACCTTATGAACAATTTATAGCTAGACTCAATAAGTACTCTGAAAGGCTACCCTATGTGAAGGGCACTATAGTATTAACATTATGATTATTATTATTGTTATTATTATATAAATACAAGTTATTGTTGCTGTGTATTATGAGCATTAAGTCAATTAACTCCTAAATCTTTTTCAGTAAATTCAATGAAGTACATGCATCTCCTATTCTTATTTCCCATATGTGCATTTTACATTTAACTGTATTAAACTTAATTTGCAAGTTATCAGCCTATGTGCATACCCTATCAAATTCTCTTTGTGAGACTTTTGCTATCTCCTGTATTTCCATAGTTGCACTAACATTATGTCATCTGCAAATTTAATGTACACCAGGTCTGCAAACCGAGGTCATTAATGTACGCAAGAAACCAGAGGGTTCCCACGACAGACCCCTGAGGGACTCCACTGGATATTCCCCCCATTGTGATCTGGCTCACCTCACAGTGACCCTCTATTTCCTTCTCTTCAGCTAATTCTGAATCCATGCCAATGTATAATTTTTGGAAGACGGAGAACTTATTAATTACTGATCCGGGTATTTTATTGCTACATGTTTAAAGATTTATAGTATTTCCAAAGATTTCACGTTGGAAAAGATTATCCGGAAAACTGTTTTCCATATTAAGAATGAATTTAATAATTTTGCTAAACTGCACAATCGTAAACTTCAAGACCATAAGATCATCTTAAGCTTTAAGAACATTAAAAGTTAAGACCATGAGAAATTTGGGGCCTCAAGTTAGCTAATTATTAAAACACAGTCCAGTTTAGATACGGAAGGTGCCATTTTCTGTCTTGCTAAGTTTTTCTGTCACTGGACCTATATATTGCACTTTTATACAAATGCAATGTTAACATGGCAAATTATGCAGGTTTAGCTGAGTAAACTCCAGCAGCATCTTAACATACTCCCTGGGATCCCAAATGTTGGTTCGTTCTTGCCAACTTGCATCTAATGTTTTCTAGAATTGGTTGAGAAGAGTGCATCCTTCTGATTTCCATTTATAGGTGGGCATACATATGTAATAATCCTCATATGATATAGTGTCTTATCACATCGTTAAGAAATCTCAAAGCACTTCACAGGATATACTGTAAAAATTTGGTCTGTGTGTATTTTGTGGGAAAACATGACAACCAATTTGCAATAGCGATGTTCAACAAACACCCGTGGAGTGAGTGACCAATTTTATTTGGGGGATCGTTTGCCAGGACACTGGAATAAATTCTCTTTTCTTTTTGAATAGTGCCATGGAATCTTTAGTATCCACCTGCACAGGCAGACAGCCTTGATTTAATGTCTCAGACAAAGGACAAAAACTCCGACAATAAAACATCCCCTTCCATCTCTGAACTGCACTTCAGTTCAGACTAAAGGGGTTCCATATCCCGATGTGGGGCTTGAAACCAAAATCTTCTGACTCAGAGATGAGAGAGCTATCAACTGAGCCAGGCTGACACACAATGTGGAATTCTGCAGGTTTATCATTATAATTATTGGTTGACCCATGTTATGGACAATGTTGCCTGTAACATGTAGCTCAGTGGTTAAAGTACTCGCCTCAGAAGCGAGACAACCTGGGTTCAATTCCCGGCAGGACGAAACTTAGGACAAGTTTCCTTACTCCACACACATGGTTCTGTTTACCTAGCAGTAAGTAGGAACCCGGTTGTCAGTCGATTGGAGGATCGCTTTTTCAGGGATAATAATTCCTTCAAAAAAAATAATAATTTGGTCACTCAATCTACGATTGTTTGTGGGACACTACCTTGTGCAATTGGCTGCTGTGTTTCGCCCACAAAACACATAGTCAATTCACTTTACAATATATTCTGTAAAGGCGCTTTGAGACATCTCAAAGACATGATAAGGCGCTCTATCAAATGCGAGGATGAATATTATTATTATTTCAACTCTTAGTCTGGTTTAAATAATCTTAAGCATGGAGATGGATTAGGTATGTTGTAAATTAGAGAGAATTTCAAATGAATGTTTTATACCTTATTAAGGACATAAGATTTTAGCATTTTCAACTTAATATCTGATTGATGACAACTTAATATCTGATGGATGACAACTTAGTGGTAAGCTGAAGCCCAATGGAGCTGAAAATGAGGTGTAATTGGGTCAGCAGTTAATGTATGTCATCACTGCCACAGAACTGTTTAAAATATCTTAATATTTGATACACCAAAGAAGAGTCTGACTGATTCCTGTAAGTACTGGTGGCATCAGATTCACACTAAATAATGTTAATTACAAATTCTGAAGCATAATAGCTGATGATCCATGCAGGTATCTTTTAACTTTGCGATCACTGAGGAGCTGCAATATGCAAATATGTAAATTGTAGTATAACGTATTTCAAAGAGTTGAGTTTCCACTGTTCTTTTTTAAATCATCACTTATTTTTCAATATACACTTGACACTTCTTTATGGCATCATTTCTTAAAATTATAACCTTTCGTTTCTACCTGCCAAACCCCGAAGCTAATGCCTGTATCATACATGCAGTTATTTTTACTTGCACAAAACAATTGTATACAGTATTTACGACAGGTTTGAACCTGTCTTAATAAAAGGAAGGCTCCAGAGACCCATGAAAGCAGCTGCTGCACATAAATCTAAATAATCACATTTGCTGACTACCTTAGAGGTCATTAAGAACTGTCTTGTGAATTATGATGAGTGGAGGCAGATAAATCAGACCTTCATCCACTTTTAGATGCAGCAATATTCAACCTATGCTATCAAACCTTCTTCAGTTGATAGAACTGATTCATTTTCAATTGTGCTGTTTTGAAACACATGAAATATGAATAATCACCTCATAAACTTGACAGTTTTACAAATGAACAAAAGGAGGGGGAAGGGGTAGTTAAAGTTAATTATTGATCCAGTTTACATTACCAAAAAGAGCCATTTAAAATTACAGTAGTTGCTGCTTAACATCACTTATAGTTGCGTTGTTTTTATAGGCCCAAATAAACTATTCCTGATCATTAGTGAAATCAGAATAAAAGAACAGAAACTAGGGCTTTGTAATGTATAATTTGTCCTTCATAGGCCCAGCTTGGTAACTACTGCTCCTCATTTGTCGTCAGAACCTTTTATCAGTTGGACTGATACTGTTCAGGTGGACATTAAAGGGATCCCATGACATTATTCAAAAAGAGAAGGGAGTTTCTTGGCCAACAATCTCCCTGATAAAATTGATCATTCACTTTATGGCTGCTTGTGGGACACTGCTGTGCACAAATTGGCTGCCGCATTAGCCTACTAATACATTCACTACAATTTACAAAAAACACTGTGAAGTGTTTTGAAGCGTTTCGATGTAATAAGGCACTATATCAAATACAAGGTTCACTTACTCACCACTCTATCTATCGTTGCTCACTCTCGCAATCACTCATTCACTCACTGGTACACAACATATTAGGTGACCATGTCATCCTTTTTTATCAGAGTAAATGAATTGTATTGATATTCAGCGGTTCTCTGCTTTATTCATAACACATTTTAATAAGTCTAGCCAAAATTTGGACAAGTACATGAAGATTAGAAAATAGAATTGTGAATCTTTATATGCAGCACATTATGTATCCCAATAAACAGTCAGCACTGGCTCTACATGTCCTTCAGAGGAAGGCAAGAATCATATACGAGGCACTCAGACACCTCCTGGCCTGCCTCCTGGGGCAAATCAGCATCTGGGGCTCATGTACACCAACCTCCCTCTGCTCCACCATCTGCTGCATTCTGCCCTTCTCCATTTGCAGCTTCAAACCTGGCTGAATGGCCATTCTGTGCAGAACACAGCAAGCTTTGCCACTCTCCACCTTTACAGAGCACTAAGTATTGCAAGTTACTCCCCCATCCCCAACACAACCAATAACACCAGCCTGAACAGTGACCTAAAAACTTGCTTGGGTTTGCCAAAAGTATTAATAATTTTATCCCTTTAAATGCTGAGGCAATGAGCACAAACTCTGCTAGAAACCTGGGATGTACAAGGGATGAATGGCATGCACCATTCCATAACCCAAATCATCCTGTAGCCACCCATCCAATCTGGACTGCTCCTCATTTCTTACACTGTGAAAGTAACCAGAATGAAAGAACGAGTCCCTTCTGGAAAATTTGAGGAGATACAGGCACCAGAAGCTTCATTTAGTCTATTTGCACTCCAGCAATTATCAGAATATAAAAACCTAAATTAGTGAATTATGTATAATACAACCACTCCTTTTCACACGCTAAAGGGTGAAAATTCCCAGAATATTATTAAATGGTTTAGGGAGATTCTTCAAATATGTAAGAGCTGATATTCATTTAATGATTCTGAAAGTGGCCTAAAAACTACATTTTACATCATATTCCTGATTTAGATAGTAGTTTGGCTTTCTCATCCCTCGACCAGTTTATAGAAAGTGGGTCACCTCTCACTTTGTTGATGTGATCCCTTGAGTCATCTGTCACTTTGACTGGAGTATCTTCTTCATAGGTATCAGCCTGGCACAGTTAGTAACACTCGCCTCCAGATCAGAAGATAGTAGGTGAAGTCACACATCGGGACTTTGAAATTACTTAACCTAGGTTGACACTACAACGTGATGCTAGAGGCATGTTGCATTGTTGGAAATGCTGTTCTTTGGATAAGACGTTAAACCAAGGTCCCATCTGTCTGGTAAGGTGGATGTTAAAGATTCTAAGGCATTATTCAGAAAGAGAAGGGAATTTCTCTTGGTATCATGTCTGCCAATTTCCCAATTAAATTTAGTCATTTACTTCATTGCTGTTTGTGGGAAATTGTGTGCAAATTGGCTGCAAAATATGCAGTCACTACACTTCACAGTGTACACTTCATTGTGAAACTCTTTGAGATGTCCTCCTGACTTTACCAGTGCTATATCAATTGTAGTGATTATAAGATATAATTCACATTTTGAGTTTTCCTGCCCTGTGTCTTCTTTTAGCACTGAAAAGGTATCTTAGCTTTTGATAACAGTGTCTAAGATTGTTTCTATTAAACAGAGTTATTTGAAAGTCTCCAAACTTTGGTTCCTCTTTTTGCAAAACTGGCATCTTCTCTCATCCCTGAACTGTTATATGCAGCATTCCTCAGGGGGCTCCTCAGGGCTCTATCCTCGCTTCTCTCTTCTTTAACATCTACATAAGTAAGTTTCCTTACTCCACACAGAGCCTAATAATAATCCCTCCAAAAAACCCAAAACAATAATAAATTGGTCATTTTCAATCTACGACTGTTTGTGGGACATTGCTGTGCGCAATTGGCTGCCGCGTTCGCCCACAAATATACAGTCAATTCACTTTACAGTGTGTTCTGTGAAGCGCTTTGGGACGTCCTCCTGACGTGAAAAGCGCTATATCAAATGCAAGGATTATTATTATTATTATTATTATTACATGCTCCTACTCGGCAATGTCATCCACAGGCATAGGGATAACTTCCACAAGTATGCAGATGACACCAAATTCTTTCTCTCTGCATCCACCCTCGATTCCAAAACCACTGCTGTTCTGATCTGTCGAACATCAAGTCCTGGATGAGAGCTAATTTTCTCCAGTTTAATGTTGACAAGACTCTCCTGTTTGGCTCCCATCAACGCCTTCTCAGCTCAGGCATTGACAACATCAATCTACATGGATGCCTTCTCCTCTCATGGAGTTTGTGCCTAATCGCAGTGTCTTGTTCAACTTTCAACTGGCCTTTAAACCATACATCAGTGCTGTGACACTTTCAGTTTTCTGCCACCTCAACATTGCCCTCTTCCAGCATGACCTCTCCCCTCAGGTCAGAGAGATCCTTATTCATGGATTCATTAAGTCCAGGCTAGACAGCATCAACTCTGTTTGCCAGACTTCCCAACTCTTCCCTCCTAAAGCTGCAGACGATCCAGAATTCTGCAACTTGTGTCCTCTTCTGCACTAGGCTCAACAAGCCTATCATCCACATTCTCGCCCAGGTCCTCTGGTTTCCATCCCTCAGAGCTCAAGATTTTCATCCTAACATTTAAATCCCTCCACGGTCTTGCCCCACCCTACCAATCTGCCCACTCCCTCTGCTCAGCAGACACTGACCCACATCACATACCCCTCCTTGTCCATCCCACTATTGGCAGTTATGTTTTCAGCCTTTCTGTTCCATCTCTCAGGAACTCCATCCCGGAGTCCCTTCACTTCACCCCTTCCCTCGCCTCCTCAATTTCCATCTCAAGACTTGCCTCTTTGACCATGGCTTCGGTCAGCTACTTCCCCCACCCCATCCCCCTTGGCTCCCAACCCTCCTGAATACAACCATTAGCTCAGGTTCACATCCACAACTGTCCAGCACCTTGGGACATCCTCCCAAGGTGAAAGGCATGATATAAATGCAAATTGTTGTTGTCTTTCCCTACATTTCTTAGCCTTTCAAATGTAAATAAACTTTTGTCAAATTGGTAAAAACCTGCCTCAACTAACTAAATTATCCCAATCTTAATCCTCCTGCCTGAATCAGACTCTCTCTGAACAGAATTTTGCATTAATATATCTGTGGATCTTTGCTTGTGATATTAAGATCCTCACTTTTTGGGAG